GCCTGCCAGCCATCACTCATAGGTATTTCTTTGAAGTAGCAAAGGAACAACACAGAGTACTGTATGTGATAGTTCTTTTATTTGCCATTTATTTGTCATTTTTCTGGACGAATTTTTCAGAGATCTACTTCCTTCATTTCAATATAGTACATTTGATTAAGAGGGGAATCTCTTAAAGCTTGAAATGTTAATGCAAATGTAAAAGTACTACATTCAATACGTGACTGTTTTAAGTTTGCAAATACAGCCACAATTACCTTAGTACCAGTACCTTAGTACTAGTACCACCAGTACCACTTAGTACCAGTACCACCATTACCACTTGGTACCAGTACCACCAGTATCAGTATCACCATGTATTAGAGGGAAAGTTCTAAGGGAAAGTTATTTTATTAGAGGGAAAAACACTTTCCCCATAGTTCTCTTTTAAAGAGTATCTATGATCAATAACTAAAAACAAATATGTATTTCTATATTGAATCTCCATAAGTTCTATCCCACTCCTAATAACTGTATTAATCTAGAAGTTTGTAAATTTACTTATTGAAGATGCCCATAGGATGTACTTCCTCAATGAGCTGACACAATTCAACTTCCTGCGTCACCACTTTCACAGTGCCTGCCTTCTGAACTACAACTCAGTGCCTGAATAATGTAACATTATCATTGCTTGCTGGAAGCAATGCATGATGGGCTATGAAGTCTTGAAAAATGGAGATTGCATCACATCAAGCATTCCCTGGTTGCCTCAGGGAAAGAGATGCAAAGCACACTGGGAATCCAGGAAGTTGATGGGCAGACAGAAGGCGGCACTCACTACATAAAAGGGATTTTGTCAAGTAAGCTTTGATTGCATTATCAGAAACCACTCTAGTATGTATTCCTATTGCAATGCTGATGTTATAACAGGAGAGGATATGCTGGGACTTTACAACTCTTTTAAGAAAAATGTCTGAAATCAAATAGACTGGGTGGGAAAAACTCAATTTAATAAGAAAAAAAAGGACATTAAAGCTATTTTATTATTTGTAAGTGTTCCAGTTCATATTCTTATTAAAACACAGAATTTAGAAAATATCTTTACTGTTAATGTGGTGACCAGAAGGAATTGTTTTGGATTTTCTTACTCATTTTGTTATTTTACAGAAGTTTCTTAATGTTCTAAAAATACTTTCAGCACATTTCTATTTTTCCACCTTTGTCAGGCAATGCCTCGTGTTGGAATTCTTTGAGAAATAACGGCGTTATACTCACCTGATCCTCAGAGCCGACCAGCTGTGACAGCGCTCCCTGAAGCTTGTCTCCTCCTCCACTGCAGCAATTCAATGCCCCACAGTGTCTTCACCTACTATACATTGTGTATTGGATGTGATGATTTACAGTACCTTACACTGCTGCAGTGAAGGAGGAGAGAGGCTCCAAGGACCAGTCTAAAAGAAAGCTGGCTCCGAAGATCAGGTGAGTATATCTTTATTATTTTCCTCCCTAGACCAAAATGAGCATTTAACCCTTGCAGTGCTTAGCAACTCAGCTCCAATACAGCAGCCCTTTGTATGGAGAGTAGTGTCTCAATAGACTTCAAATCAGTACACATCCAACATCAAAAAGTTTATCAACTTTAAATTTTTATTATTATTTACATTATAAATGCTGCCTAATTTAGAAATGCCCCAATTAATGAATATTCAAATAATACAGAGTTCCAAACTCAGTAGAGTTAAATCTACAAAGGGGAGCACCTACTTCGTTCCAATAATTGTATAATTGTCCAAAAATTTGGGGGTCTATTCACTAAGCTGCCGTAGTCAGCCGAGTGAACGACCGACCTGAAGCGAAGTGAGCCGAACGCTGTTCAGCTATTCACTTCAGGCTGGTACGGCTGATTTCAGCCGTATATCGGCTGGAATCAGCCGGACATCGGGTGGCTTCGGGTTGACCGAACATGCTCAGCATGTTTGGCCGACCCAAAGTGCAGAAGGAGTTCGACTCAGCCGATCCAACATCTGGATCGGCTAAGCCGAACTTCCGGCAGTGTCCCCTCTGCTGATTGACAGCAGCAGTGGGCGGGTGCAATAGCTAGTTTGCTATTGGCTATTGCAAATTGAAATAGCCAATAGGAATCTAGCAATGCATTCCTATGGTGATCATTTTTTTTTTTTATATTCTGAGACAGCAAACTATATCATAGTGGCCCGGCCGGGTTCTCAGTGTGTAATGACAGCGTCCCTGGTTACCTGGTAACTAGGGATGCTGATCTCTCTGAAAGTGGCCGGAGCCAGCTGTGAGATGGCGGCTGGCTCCGCTCAGGTGTCAGAACCAGGCTGTCGGCCGGCCAGCTTCGGCTTTCACCTCGGCTCAGTCGAGCTGAAGCGTATGCCTTCCACTCGACTGAGCCGCTCGGCCGACTTCGGGAGCTGTACGGTCTATAGTGAATAGCAGTAAATGTTTTCTTTAGTTATGGGGCTTGGGGCCTCGTTTATACTTAAGTCCTTTAAACAGCTGAGGAATGCAAAGAGGGGATGAAAGATCTGTATGCAGCCCAAGAACACAATTTTGGCATGCCTACATTAAGAGATTACAGGAATTTTAAAAAATTTGAGTTGTACAGATTGCTCTGAAAACCAGAGACAGAGATAGAGAGCAATTGTTTTCCAGGGACAAACCTTTAAAACTCAGCAGTGTCCCTACAAAGCCAAAAAGCATGTTATAACACTAGTATGTTTTTTAAAAATAATAAATACTATTTGTTATAATTGTGTAAGCTTTCACTTACGGTGTAACCAGAACATGTGAAATCACAGATCAGTGCTGTTTGTAATCCCCGCTTGTTTATGCTCCGTATTAAAGTGTAAAATAAAGCAAGAGTCAAGAAAACTGGAGCAAAAGTAAAGTTGTTACACATAGCAAGCATTTAGGTATCTTTCATTTACTGGAAACAATCAACAAAGATTCTGATCAAGTGCTGCAGGCTAGTGTTTGTCATCTTGCTTGATGTATGTTACCCTTGATTAAATGTGCTGGTTGCCAGATACCCTCTGATGTAAGTCATTATTGTAAGTCACCCCTTGAGAAGAATACATGTGTAACTATTAACCCTGACTGTGCATAAATGGTTTCCAAACAGCCCTTTAGGATTGACTTATTAAAGGACTAGAGACTGCACACTGCAAATTGAAATAGCCAATAGGAATCTAGCAATGCAATCCTATGGGCAAAATGTATTTTTTTTTCTATTCTGACACGGCTCTGTGTCATAATAAAGAAAAAAAAGAAAAAGCAGTGTTTCTCTCCTGGGCGGCCGGGGGCGGGAGACTCCCAGAGCGCCGGGAGAGTTTTTTTTTCTTCTTTTTTTTTTGACGGCAGCAGAACCGCCGGACAATAGAAAACTATTGGGCGGAGCTAGCTGTCATTGGTTTGCTATTTATTTTTTTGAACTTTTTTTACTATTTTTCTGTTTTGCTCGGGCTCTCTGAGCAGAACAGCCGAGCCGAATGCCGCTCAGCTGCATTCGGCTATTAACTCACTGCTGTTCGGCATCTATAAGAATAGACCGAACAGCAGTGAGTAGCCTGCCGGAGGTTCGGCTTAGATGTTGGATCGGCTGAGATGTCGGATCGGCAGAGTCGAACTCCTTCTGCACTTCGGGTCGGCCGAACATGCTGTGCATGTTCGGCCG